GGGGAGGTGCTCCCCTGCTCCCCTGCTCCCCTCCGCGTCGGTGGCGCTCCTGGAGCCCAAAGAAGGAATCGTGACCTGGGTTTTTGCCTGTGGCGCTCCTGGGGCCCAAAGAAGGAATCGTGACCTGTTTTTTTGCCTGTGGCGCTTTTTTTTTGCCTTGCGCGTCGGGCCCCCGGACCCTACCGGAGAGCGCGCGCGAGGCGGGGGGGGTGCTCCCCTGCTCCCCTGCTCCCCTCCGCGTCGGCGACGCTCCACAGGCAAAAACGTTTTTTTGCCTGTGTTTTTTTTTGTTTTTGCCTTGCGTGTCTTTTTTTTTGCCTTGCGCGTAATCTCTGGATCTTGAGCTCGAACTGTCTGAGCAGATGGTAGCTGCCTCAGAACTAATTGACAGAGGGGGCATGCCAGGAGGACGCGCCTGGAACGTCCCAAGGGACGCGCCAAGCGACGTGCCAGGGGACGTGCCATGGGGACGCACCGCGGGACGTGCCAAACTACGCGCTACGGAACGCGTCAATGGACGTGCCACGGGACGTGCCAGGGGACGCACCGCGCGACGTGCCAGGGGGACTCGCCACGGAACGCTCCGCGGAACGTGCCAGGCAACTGCAATGCTAATGGTATCGATCTTGATGTGCCGTGCCGAGGGCTGTGCAGTGCCTGGGCGACCTGGACACGTGAAAACAAGCGTTTCGCTCAAGACGTTCTCAGCACATCCTCATGCTAGACATCCGCCTGGGCGACCTAGACACGCGCGAACGAGCGTCTCGATCTAGACTTCCTCAACGCATCCTCATGCTAGATATCCGCCTGGGCGACCTGGACGGGTGAACACAAGCGTCTGGTTCGAGACATCCTCAACAAATCCTCATGCTAGACATATGCCTGAGCAACCTGGACGCGTGAAACCAAGCGTCTCGTTCGAGACATCCTCAAGACCTGGGCACGTGAAAACAAGGCTTTCACTTGAGAGATCCTCAAAAAATTCTGGCCCCCAAGAGACGACAATATTTAACACGAAACAAGCGTTTCGATCGAGACATCCTCAAGAAATTATGTAAAACAAGCGTTTCGCTCGAGACATCCTCAAACATAATTTCGCCCGCCCTACGCGACCTCGTTATTTTTCGCAAAACAATTTCGCCGGCCCTACAACCGTCAGAACCGTGGGTAAACATACTAAAAAAGAACCCTGGGCCCGAGCCCTTTCCTGGAAAAACTATGCTTTGATCGCGGCCACTCTTCACGTCCTCGAGACCCCCTAACAGACCCAACACGATCCAAGACCCCAAGAGAGTGCGACGACCTTTCAAGCGTGCCTTCAGACACCCCTTGCTTGACGCTCCAACGAAGCGCAATATAGCCCCAAGAAGGTCACACGAAGCTTGCAAGATGAGACCAAGACTATCCTCCGAGAGGGCCACAAGTACTCCCCGAAACCACTGAACAATCCAACGTGTGTGTGTGTGTGCTCTTTTTGTTTCCTTCCAGGCTTCCTGGCTTATTTAAGATGGCTTCAGGAAGGCCTGGCCCCGAGAAGGCACCAAGACTGCTGTAAGACCTGTCCAGAGGGCCCAACCTGTGTCTATCTAGGCTCGTCAGGAGAACTCGGGAGAACCATCGCTGACACGATAGCCTAAAAGCGTCATGGTGGCCTGCGGGTCCACAACTGTCCTGAATCCATCTCGATGCTGTGCTGGCACAGTGGCAGGGTTTGCCGCAGCCAGCTGGATGGGCCTTGACGACGGATGGCAATAGCACGTCTTCGCATGAGGCTTGACGAATCAGAAACGCAGAATTGAAAGGGCGCATGGACACAAACACACACACATAGAAAAGGGCACAAATGTCAGGATCCCACACATTTTCCAATATTTTGTGGACTCTCGTCTTCCCCTCCACTTCCCATATTCTCCATACTTATTCCCCTGGGAATCGACGATTATTTGTGTCTGTGTTTTTTTCGGACGGGGCTAGGGCGAGGACAAATCCGCTCCGGAACGCTCTGAGAAGGCTGCGGCGCCCGAGACATCCTCCAAAACCGCCGGATCTGAGAGATTCTTGATCTATCCTCACCCGGCTTGCTCCTCGTCCTGGCTTCGCCTTGTACTTTTTTAGGGGAACAAAAAATGGCATAAACATAACATGATCGACCCACGAACCCGGAAAGGAATATAGAACTGTAACACATGGCAGCGTTTTCAAAGACACCTGATTGGGTGACGGGCAAATGCAATGCTGAGTGTATCGATCTTGATGTACCCTGCCGAGGGCTGTGCTGTGCTGCGCCGTGCTGAATTGCGATGTGCCATGGCGCGACTGTGCTCTATAGCCTCGTGGATCGAGTCCTCCTTTGCATCCGAGTCCTGACCGAACTGATCTGGATCTTAAGCTCGAGCTGCCTGAACACATAGTAGCTGCCCCAGAGCTAATGGACAGGGGAACATGCCAGGAGGACGCGCCGCGAAACGTCCCAAGGGATGCGCCAGGCGACGTGCCAGGGGACGCGCCATGGGGTCGCACCGTAGGACGTGCCAAAGGGACGCGCTACGGAACGTGCCAATGGATGTGCCACGGAATGTGCCAGGGGACGCGCCACGCGACGTGCCAGGGGGACTCGCCAAGGGACGCCCCACGGAACGTGCCAAAGAACGTGCCAAGTTGCAATGCTGAGTGTATCGATCTTGATGTACCCTGCCGAGGGCTGTGCTGTGCTGCGCCGTGCTGAACTACGATGTGCCATGCCGCGGTTGTGCTCTATAGCGTCGTGGATCGAGTCCTCCTTTGCATCCGAGTCCTGACCGAACTGATCTGGATCTTAGCTCGAGCCTGAACACATAGTAGCTGCCCCAGAGCTGATGGACAAGGGGAACATGCCAGGAGGACGCGCCGCGAAACGTCCCAAGGGATGCGCCAGGCGACGTGCCAGGGGACGTGCCATGAGGTCGCACCGCGGGACGTGCCAAGGGGACGCGCTACTGAACGTGCTGGGGACAAGCGTTTCGCTCGAGACATCCTATCAAAATCATCCGAATTCCTACGCGCGGGACGCGGCACGCGCGAGACATCCTCGGAATTCCTGTGAGCGGGACACGAAAACAAGCATTGCGCCTGAGACATCCTCTGAATTCTGGCCCCCCACGAGGCCCCCGCTCGAGACATCCCCCAATTTTGCAAAACCAGCGTTTCGCTCGAGACATCCTCAACAAATTATGAAAAACATGCCAGGAGGACGCGCCGCGAAACGTCCCCAGGGACGCGCCAGGCGACGTGCCAAGGGACGTGCCATGGGGTCGCACCGTAGGCCGTGCCAAGGGGACGCGCTACGGGACATCCTCAAAATTCCTGCGCGCGGGACGTGGCACGCGCGAGACATCTTCCGAATTCCTGCGAGCGGGACGTGAAAACAAGCATTTCGCCTGAGACATCCTCTGAATTCTGGCCCCCCACGAGGCCCCCGCTCGAGACATCCCCAAGTTTGCAGAAACCAGCGTTTCGCTCGAGACATCCTCAACAAATTATGAAAAACAAGCGTTTCGCTCGAGACATCCGGTCAAAATTCTAAGAAATCCTGACAAAACAAACGAATTAGTCGAGACATCCTCGAAATTCCTGCGCGCGGGACGCGGCCCGCGCGAGACATCCTTGGAATTCCCGCGAGCGGGACACGAAAACAAGCATTTCGCCTGAGACATCCTCTGAATTCTGGCCCCCCGCTCGAGACATCTCCAAATTTTGCGAAACCAGCGTTTCGCTCGAGACATCCTCCACAAACTATGTAAAATAAGCGTTTCGCTCGAGACATCCTGCCAAAGTTCTAAGAAATCCTGACAAAACAAGCGAATTAGTCGAGACATCCTCGAAATTCCTGCGCGCGGGACGCGGCACGCGCGAGACATCCTCGGAATTCCTGCGCGCAAATTATGAAAAACAAGCGTTTCGCTCGAGACATCCGGTCAAAATTCTAAGAAATCCTGACAAAACAAACGAATTAGTCGAGACATCCTCGAAATTCCTGCGCGCGGGACGCGGCCCGCGCGAGACATCCTTGGAATTCCCGCGAGCGGGACACGAAAACAAGCATTTCGCCTGAGACATCCTCTGAATTCTGGCCCCCCGCTCGAGACATCTCCAAATTTTGCGGAAACCAGCGTTTCGCTCGAGACATCCTCCACAAACTATGTAAAATAAGCGTTTCGCTCGAGACATCCTGCCAAAGTTCTAAGAAATCCTGACAAAACAAGCGAATTAGTCGAGACATCCTCGAAATTCCTGCGCGCGGGACGCGGCACGCGCGAGACATCCTCGGAATTCCTGCGCGCGGGGCGCTTTTCCGAGTCGCGGTCGGGGCTCCAGACCCCGTTATTTTTCGAGGATTCTGCGAAAAACGCTCCGCACCCTCTTTTTTACGAGGGAAAGCGGGGGTCTGCGGACCCCGTTATTTATCGAGGATCCGAGATGGGGGGCGAACTTTCCTCGAGCGGGCACGCACAAAACGCACTTTTTCAAAAAAAATCAGCACTTTACCTCGTTATTTATCGCAAATAATTTCGCCGGCGCTTGACCCGTCAGATCCGGGGGTAAACGGCTAAAAGAGAACCCTGGGCCCAAGCCCTTTCCGGGAAAAACTCGGAGGTCCGCGCGGATTTCTCGGATCCGCGCTGGACCCCCGTCCCTGGCGCGCGGAGCGCGGCAGGGGCGGCGCCGGAGGTGCCGCCGGGGAGCCCCAACGCCGATCCGAGAAATCCGCGCGGACCTCCGAGTTTGTGTGTTTATGCCACTTTTTGTTCCCCTATTTTTTCCTCTCCTGCAGAGCGCGGGACAAAAAGGGTCGTGATTTCGCCTGTGAACCGAAATATTACCACTAACACCGAAATCTAGGATCATCACCCCCCCTGCGGAGGCAAAGCCCTGTGCTGGTGTTGGTGCCAATTTCCAGGCCTCCGAATTTTCTCTCTCCTGCAGAACGCGGGACAGAGAGGGTCGCGCTTTCGTCTGTGAACCTCGCGGCCCCGCGGCAGCAGCGCCCGCCAGCGAGAGAGGACCAGCGGCGCCAGCGCCGCGTCCGCCGCGCCGCCGCTGCAGGCCACGGCCACGGCGCAGGCGACCGCGAGCCGGACCTCGGGGCTCGAGCTCAGCAGTGCTCTTGAAGGGGCCCTGGGACACACAAATAGATACTCACAAATAGATTGATCCCCCTATAGTTTCCCATGTTTTCTGGGCTTTTATCTTCCCCCCCACTTCCCATATTTTCCCATATTTTCTGGGAGTCGCCGATGATTTGTGTCTGTGTGTATTTTTTCCCTCCTGATTCGTTCTGTCTTCGTTCTGCTCGTGCTGCGAATCGAACCCAAAGCGAAAACGGCCCACGGACTCGCCCAGACACCGTTTAGCTCGAACCCTGCCGGACCTGCGCGAAGGCACGCCAGCGCGCCAAGACCATCTGTCCAAACGCGAGGCTCGCCGCGCCACGGCGCCCAGCCAGAACGGCCGCAGAGGCGATGGCCAGCCGAGCCCTTGCAAACGTCCGCCAGTGCGCCAAGGCTAGCCGCCCCAGCACGCTGACCGCGCCACCGCTGCCCGCAACGACCAGGGCTACGGCAGAGGTGGCCGCGAGCCGGACCCGCTCGCGCCCAGCACGGCCCTCTACCGCCCGCCGTTCCTCCCGCCTGCGCTCTCGCCGCTGCCGCTTGTGCACCTCTGCTTCCGCGGCATGCCACGATACCCTGGGCGTCTGGGGCTCGGCACAGAGGCCCTCGCTCCCAACGGGCGGCAGCCGGGCTGACCGAGGTGTGGCCGGGGCAGCTGCGCTGGTCCGTGCCGCGGCAAGCTCGTGCTCGTACCGCTGCGACACGCGCTGCAGCTGCTCCTCGGAGGTGATGATAGGGGCGAATGGCCCAGGGGCGGGCATTATACGCCTCCCTCTGGGAGCCACGCCGAAGACATGAGCCGTCGGCGCCTCTGGATACAGGTATTGCTCCCCCCTGGGCTATTCGCCCCTATCGTCGCCTCCGATCCTCGTGTCTCGAGACGCAGGCGGCCACCTCGCGCGCCCGGCGCGCGACGCCCAGCGCGGCCTCCTCCTCACACTGCCGCCAAAGCCCCGGCCGAAGCTCCCGCAGCTGCTGCTCCTGGGGAAACAGAAGAGCTCCTCCTTCTCCTCCTCCTCCTCCTCCTGCTCCTCCTTCTCCTCCTCCTCCTCCTCCTCCTCCTCCTCCCTCCTCCTCCTCGTCCTCGTCCTCATCCCTCCTCCTCCTCCTCCTCCTCCTCCTCCTCCTCCTCTTCCTCCTCCTCCTCCTCCTCCTCCTCCTCCTCCTCCTCCTCAGCATCAGCATCAGCATCAGCATCAGCATCAGCATCAGCATCAGCATCAGCATCATCATCATCATCATCATCACCACAACCATCATCATCATCATCATCATCATCATCACCACCACCACCACCACCACCACCACCACCACCATCACCATCACCATCACCATCACCATCATCATCAACCTCATCCTCATCCTCATCCTCATCATCATTCTCATCCTCATCCTCATCCTCCTCCTCATCATCAGCAACATATTTTTCTTCTTCATCATCATCAGCATCATCATCAACATCATCATCATCATCCTCATCCTTACCATCATCCTCATCATTAGCATCGTCATCGTCATCGTCATCGTCATCGACATCGTCATCGTCATCGTCAAGGTCATCATCATCATCGTCATCATGATCATCATCATCGTCATGATCATCAGGATCATCATGATCATCAACATCAGCATCATAATCATCATCATCATCCTCATCCTGACCCTCATTCTCATCCTCATCCTCATCCACATCCTCATCCTCATCCTCATCCCCATCCTCATCCTCATCCTCATCCTCATCCTCAGCATCAGAATCAGCAGCATCGTCACCACCATCATCAGCATCATCACCATCATCATCATCATCACCATCATCATCATCATCACCATCATCCTCACCATCATCATCATCACCATAATCATCAGGATCAGCATCACCACCATAATCACCATCATCATCACTATCATCTTCATCACCACCATCACCATCAGCCGCATCATCATCACTATCTTCATCACCACCATCACCATCAGCAGCATCATCATCACTATCATCATCAACAGCAGCATCACCATCATCATCACAATCATCACCGTCGTCATTATCGTAACCATCATCATCGGCAGTATCAGCATCAGCATCATCATCACCACCATTACCATCATCACCACCAAATCCTCATCATCATCATCATCATCATCATCATCATCATTATCATCCTCAGCGTCATCATCATCGCCATCGTCATCGTCATCGCCATCGTCATCGCCATCGTTATCGTCATTGGCCATCATCATCACCATCAGCATCACCATCATCGCCACATCCACCACCGTCATCACCACCACCATCATCAACATCAGCATTAGCATCAGCAGCATTATCATCAGCATCATCATCATACTCAACATGATGATGGTGATCATCATCATCAGCATCACCAGCAACATCACCAGCATCATTATTAGCATCAGCATCATCACCAGCATCATCATCATCATGAGCATTCGCATCAGCATCATCATAATGAGCACTAGCATCAGCATCATCATCATACTCAACAGGATGATGATCATCATCGTCACCATCGTCATCGTCACCATCGTCATCATCACGACCACCATTGTTATCCTCATCCTCATCATCCTCAGCATCGTCATCATCGTCATCAGCATCATCGTCCTTATCATTAGCACCAGCATCAGCATCAGCATCCGCATCATCATCGTCATCATCGTCATTATCATCGCCATCAGCATCATCACCATCGTCTTCATCATCATCATCAGCATCATCATCATCATCATCGTCATCATCATCATCATCATCATCATCATGATCATCGTCAGCATCATCATCATCATCATCGTCATCATCATCATCATCATCAGCATCATCATCGTCAGCATCATCATCATCATCATCATCAGCATCATCATCATCATCATCATCATCATCATCATCATCATCATCATCATCATCATCATCATCATCATCGTCATCATGATCATGATCATCATCATCATCATCATCATCATCATCATCATCATCATCATCATCATCATCATCATCATCATCATCATCATCATCATCATCGTCATCGTCATCGTCATCGTCATCGTCATCGTCGTCGTCGTCGTCGTCGTCATCCCCCTCTTCGTCCCTCCTCCCCCTTCCCCCCCTACCCCCCTCCTTGCCCTTCCCTCCTCGTCCTCCTCCCTGCCTCTCCCTCCTCCATGCCTTCCAGGCCATCCCCTCCCCTCCCTCCCGTCCACTCCCATGCCAGTCCTCCCTCCGGGTACCTCCTCACAGGTGCGTCCTGACCAGAAGTTCGACGCGAACCGAGCCGCGGCGACGAAGGAAGGGCACCCCAGATCTCACAATACGGAAGAAGGGTCTGCTCTGGGAAGGGTCTGATCTGAGCTGCCTGGGAGGCCTCCGCGCGGGTCTGGGCAAAAGGCCGCCCTTTCACCGCTGGTTTTGGGGGGTACCACGTGTGTGAGCCCCTTCTTTTCATTACGAAATGTGGAGTAGCCGTATCCGAAGTCGCCAGACTTCGCGCATCGCGCCCCGCGATGCGCGACGCGTGGGTATCTTCGCGCCGTCGCGCCGACGCCTTGGAGAAGGACAGCTGTCCCGCTCAGGCCTCGACGCGGGAAGCGCGGTCACCTTCGCACCCCTGGGGGTGGCCTGGGTGTCGGTACCTCGTCTTCGTCCTCAGGCCCCATCGTCCCGAGCTCTCAGCGGGCCTTGCCGAACCCAAGCCACGAAGTAGACGCGGGAAGCGCGGTCACCTTCGCACCCCTGGGGGTGGCCTGGGTGTCGGTACCTTGTCTTCGTCCTCAGGCCCCATCGTCCCGAGCTCCAGCGGGCCTTGCCGAGCCCAACCCACGAAGTAGACGCGGGAAGCGCGGTCACCTTCGCACCCCTGGGGGTGGCCTGGGTGTCGGTACCTCGTCTTCGTCCTCAGGCCCCATCGTCCCGAGCGCCAGCGGGCCTTGCCGAACCCAAGCCACGAAGTAGCCAGCAGAGGTTGAAACACCGAGGTCGCCTGCACGTTCGGGGCGGGTGTTGCAGGGGGGCGACCTCAACGAGGGTGCAGAAAAGGGCCCGAACGCCCACTTGCACATCATCGAGGTGTAGCGGTATCCGTACACGTCGTTCATTTCTAATCGTGCTCATTTCTAATTGTGCTCGTTTCTAATTGTTCCTGGCCCCCTAGTGGCCAGGAAGAGGCCCAGAATAGTATCATTAGAAGTGAAAAAATGTTGCCCCCAAACATGATCGACCCACGAACCCGGAAAGGAATATAGAACTGTAACGCATGGCAGCGTTTTCAAACACACCTGATTGGGTGACGGGCAAATGTAATGCTGAATGTATCGATCTTGATGTACCCTGCCGAGGGCTGTGCTGTGCTGCGCCGTGCTGAATTGCGATGTGCCATGCCACGATTGTGCTCTATAGCGTCGTGGATCGAGTCCTCCGTTGCATCCGAGTCCTGACCGAACCGATCTGGACCTTAAGCTCGAGCTGCCTGAACACATAGTAGCTGCCCCAGAGCTAATTGACAAGGGGACATGCCAGGAGGACGCGCCGCGAACCGTCCCAAGGGACGCGCCAGGCGACGTGCCAGGGGACGTGCCATGGGGTCGCACCGCGGGACGTGCCAAGGGGACGCGCTACGGAACGTGCCAATGGATGTGCCACGGGATGTGCCAAGGGACGCACCACGCGACGTGCCAGGGGGACTCACCAAGGGACGCCCCACGGAATGTGCCAAGGAGCGTGCCAGATTGCAATGCTGAACGTATCGATCTTGATGTACCCTGCCGAGGGCTGTGCTGTGCTGCGCCGTGCTGAATTGCGATGTGCCATGCCACGATTGTGCTCTATAGCGTCGTGGATCGAG